AATTCTAAATCCACATGGTAATTTGGATAAAGTTAAGGATTAAAAGGTATATACTCAACCTGGTCCCCGGCACCAATGTCCTCCTGATCCCTGCCTTCAAACACACAGTCTGATATCTCGGCACACTGCGGCTCCAGGGCCACCAGCACGTTGCATGTCTTATAGTCAAAACCTGCACATCACAGTAGGGAGTCCTTCACTTAAATACCCCGGGAACATTCTGCAAAAACTTCAAGTTGTAAAATAAGAAACCTACCTTTTGAAGAGTCATCATAGCCAATCTTCTTCACGGTATCTCGGACCACTGCCACGAGATCCACGATGGCCTTAGATGTCACTTCTCCAACCAGCAAAATCATGCCGGTCTTCGCCACACATTCTGAAACAAAACATGACTCACTTTGTACATCATTTAGAGAAGTGTTATTATATTTTATTCAATGATGAAACTTCTTTTAAATATTTGGTTTTCTGCTCTAGTGATGTTTCAACCACAAATCTATATTCTGGATCTTTGTCTTTCATTCAACAGCGGAACTAAACAATTTCCCAATCTGTAATCAAAGAAGTAAATGTATTCTACTCTAATCTAATCTAAAACTGGGTTCCTGTCTACAATGAACCAACACTACCATAAATGTAATAATGTTAACATTTGCATTGAAAAAAAGGAACATTTAATAGGAAATGTCCACATTTATTTATTGGATTTGGTCTATCATATTCACTTTTTGTTCTTCTTACAGTACTCAAAGTAGCCTTGGAGGTATATGTATCTCTATTCAGAAACACTGTTGTTAAACAAACCTTTTTAATCAATGCAATGAATAATCACAGTTTATTTCAATGATTTTACTTTTTTTCACAAACAAGTCTGAAGCATTTTTAGGAATTAGGGGTTGGGTGCATCATGATACATTTCAATATTATAAGACATAAACCTCACCACAAGCCACTTTAGAGTCGGGGTCTTGACTCAGGTATGCATCGAGCACAGCATCACTGATCTGATCACACATTTTATCTGTGAACACAAAGTCAGAGATGTAAAGAAAAGAACAGGGACATAGGCTACGCCTTGAATACACACGTGTGTTTTATTACTGAAATCATCAGTAACTGAGGGCTGCAAGCCAGCCTAATTAAGTATGTAAATATTATGCAAGTAAAATTCCCAGTCCTAAATTACATGGAAAAATGCTGCTTTCAAAAATATAATTCAGAATGCAGAATGGCCCATTTCAGAATATATAAATCATATAACTGTAATAATTATTGATGCATTAATGTGGTCATCATTTTAAAGGTAGGGTAGGTAAGTTTGATAAACCGGCTCGAGATCGCTAGAATTTGAAAATACACAACCGGAGAAAATCTGCCACTTCCTTACAGAGCCCCTCCTCCAACACACACGAACGCGCACATGACCAATGAGGGCACGAGATAAGTTTGTGCACAGCTGGAAGGCTGACAGGCAGGTAGACCATCCAGTTATTTTAGCCGGGCCGGCTAAAATGATTGGTCGTACTTTTTACAGTATTACGGCTTCCACAGATGACATTTTTTTATGGATTTTTTGTCAAAGCACTTAAGATATTCATTGCTATCGGGATGTTAAGAGCATTCCATGGAATATAACAAAAAGTGTATCTCGAGTCGGTTTCTCAAACTTACCTACCCTACCTTTAATGTTGTAAGTGGTAAAACTAGAGCAAATATTTACTTTTTGTATACTGTCAAGTAGTTTTATTCATAATAATCCACCCTAACCCACCACTGGATTTAGTACTTCTTTCACCATTGACTTTTAATAAGGAACATGTCCACTGTGTACCCAGTATACTACAACCATAGACTGTATGTATACAAAGTACACACAGGTATACACTCAGGTTCACATGTATACAGTAAAGGCTGTCTAAGTTACCTGAGTGTCCCTCTCCCACAGACTCGGAGGTGAACAGGAAAGTCTTCCCGCTGCAGGCTGCTCCTCTCGGGTTCATCTTCAGCTCGTCGTCGGTCGGTGGTGGTGTCAGGAAAGTTGAATGTAACGTTATTAACGGCACCCCAGCTCTAAGGTGAAAGTGTCTTCTGATGTCCGCCGACTAATGATATACAAATCAATCATTAACTCTGAAGGTTACGATAATAAAGACATGGAATGGCAGTAAAGTGGATTTAGGTCAGGCGGATTAAAGAAAACAACCGAGGCAACGATCACTAACAGTCGTTCATTACATCCATCAAAGTCGTACACGGTTAAAAAAATAAATATATGAAGGCTACTTAATACTTACATTTAATTCCCCTTTTCTGGCTTCCTGAACGTGTGATTTGACTGGACGTGTGATTTTAAGGAGGTATGTTTACAAGTGAAGGTCCTTCAGGCAGCAGCTCGGGCAGCCTCAAGATGGCGCAACAGGTCAGGTGAACAGTTTTCCCCATAGATATATAGTTTTCCCCCTCATAATTTAAAATATATTTAGCTAATTTACACATACTGTATTTTCATATTTTATTGTTTTAATAATCACCTTTTTTTCTCTGTATTTTTCAAAAATAATCATGAAATGTTTTTACATTTAAATGGTTTGTCAGTAAAGAAACAAACAGCAACATAGAACAAATATACCAAAGTAAATAATATTATAGCTATTATACATACACCAATATAATATATTACATATTTTAAAACAAAATAATACATCAATAGAATAAACTTATTTTAAAGCTATTCACCTCAAATCATCCTTAATTTGGTAACATGTATCAGTGGAGAAGGAAGTTCTTAGATATATTATATATGTACAAAATGTAGTACAACAGTGTACAAATAATGTTCTATTTTCAAAAGTAAAAGTAGCTATTATGAAGAATGGTCAGTTGCAGGATCAAATAGATATATGAATATATTGTTTGTATATGATTTTAACACACACATTAAAAAAAAAAGATATGCTTATTTAAATTGAACTGAGGTACACATTTGAGATAGCCCTGATTGTTGCCTCGTATATATCTTTTTGTGTCTGTTTTGGCAAGATTATAGTTTTATTTCAAATTTTTGTATGCCCATTTACTTTTCTTTGTTGGAAACAAACTAAGAGTTTGCCTGCTGAACTTACCACATAATTCATGGCGTTTGCCATATAATGAAAAGTGTCTCAGCTATTTTATCTGTCTTATCCACATGCAAAAAACACCACCATGATGTTTGTGTTTCTGTTATTATTTACACAGTTTATGTTATTATTTACAGATCGCATGCTGTGGTTTTATTGAATGTGCCAACTGCTAGGACTGTCTTAGGGAAGATAGCATATAGATGCGCAGCTCCACTGTCTTGGAATAGTCTGCAATTGAAATGGAAACTGAGCAATCTGGTGCCACTAAATGTTTTTAAAGCTCGGTTGGATGCTACTCAATCGGAAGCTGTTGGTACCTGTTCATGTGGATAGTTATGTAAATTGTAATCCCTGTAATGATGCTGTATGATGTCCTTTTTGTTGTTCTGTTTATGTTTTAATGTTTCATGTGGAACCTACTTGAGCAGGTCTCCCTTGAAAAAGAGATCAATGATCTCAATGGGATACACCTGGATAAATAAAGGTTTGAAATGAAACACAGTTTGTTACAGCAGTTAGAGAAACTGCTTCCTATAGCAGAATAAAGACCTCTGTTTAGTCTAAAACAGGGGTGTCAAACTCAATTTCATCGCGGGCCACATTCGCATAAAAGTTGCACTCAAAGGGCCGGTTGTAACTACATAAATATATAATATATATATAAAATAATGTATCATATTATATCATTGCCTCTGAATTGGATTATTATCGGATAGGATAATAACTTAGTAATTAACTACAAAGCAGAAGTCCAGGGCAAATAATTGGAAGTCTCTTCAGTGCGCATGTCACAAAACGAGATGCATTGTGGGACATGTAGTTTATGGGCAACCTGCTTCTGTAAAGTGGCATGTAACCGTATAATAAACGTATTATATTCTTTGCAAGCTCTTGCGGGGCCACATAAAACGAAGTCGCGGGCCGGATTTGGCCCCCGGGCCTTGAGTTTGAGACCCCTGGTCTAAACCATCATCATAAACTTCTCATAAGTATGACAATTGCATGTCTATTGTAATGAAATGCATTACAGTGTATATGTGACTGTGTTGTTGTGTCTATCCCCTGTATTTGTATTGTGCATTTTCTTTCGAAAACTTTGATTACTTATAGAAGGTGCAGCCAGCATGATGTAATGTCCTTTTCTACTCGCATACTGCACAGCTTGTCCAAGTAACCTGGATTATTTAAGGTTATAGTACATTAAAGACTAATGTATATCTTTTTATTTGACTTCAAGCTAACATATACCCACACTGTTTCTTTAGTATTTAGCCAAAGTGCAGCACACTCCCAATGTTCAGTTTGCATGACTCATGTCCAGATCCTCTTTATCAGGGAAGTACATCCACATCACTAACAAAGTCCTATCAAGGCCTTTCTTGATCTGCTCAATATCTAAATTGATCTGACTTTCCGACACAAAACATATAAGGAGCAGTATGCAATACATCGTTAAAGAATAAGCTACCAAACAGCCTATATAATACAATTTGAATATCATTCAAATGAGCTCAACCTCAACTAACCAACACTGAAATGCTACACATTAAAGCATCAGTAACAATAATCAATTGTAATGGAGTATTTGAACAGAATAGTGTTGCTACTTTTCCTTAACTAAATGATCTGAATATTTCGTCCACCATGGCAAGATTTTGTGCTCCAAAACAGCAACAAGTAGGCAAATTCACATACATACACTTTCCCTGAAACAAGCTGCACAACACAGGATGAGGAAGTGAAGCAACAGTGACCTCACCCCTTTATTGCCTTGCAAATATCTCTCTGCTGAAAGCCCTTTTTGCCAGACACACAGCTCCACACCGGCCTGCCGCTCTGACAACTCATGGTAAGTAAACACATAAAACCAGGATTATATGTTTAGAAAAATGTGTGGTTTAACGGTCTGAAATAGTCAAAAGTTGTTCCTTGAGTAGCAGAGTTCATGAGAAGCGGGAAATGAAAGTGCTGCATGTTCAGGATGTGATCATGAGTTGTGCGTGGCGACTGGCTCCTGTGGAACCAATGACTCTGATTGAGGCGACAGGTAGTTAATGAGTGACAGGGGAGAGGTGCAACCTTCAGCAGACATTTGTTCAGCTCTGACTGTGTGACTCATTCTGTCACAAGAGGAACATATCTGAGTTTGTTTATTATACTGCCAGGACTGGATAACAGGACTTTGTGGAGGCTTTACTTTTTGTGTAGTTGTTAGTTGGGACTGAAACAGAGGGCTGCTATGGTAAGTTCTCCTTTTTTATACAATGACGTTTGGTTAGTTAAGTATTGTTTACATTTGTTATTGATCACTAATCGTCAATTAAACGTATCCTTTATTTGTCTGTACAAGTAATACAATGTGTTATGCAGGTTTGCTTTATACAAATAGTGTTTAGGTTTGTCATGTGACAGTCACAGGCCTCTGTAACACCTGACAGCACACTCACCTGTTCACTCAGTAACAGGAAGTGAGGTTTGGTCATTTAAAAACGTGACTGCAGAGTAGAACTGGGCAATAAATGGAAAATATATCGAAATCCTGATAGGAGACTAGGCACCGTCTTAGATTTGTCGAGAAGTGTTGTCTTTTCCTGGCTGCATTACAGTAAAGTGATGTTATTATATGTATCAGACTGTTATAGCGGTTCTGCTATTTTCCTTTATTCCACATTACTGATGCTTGTTAATCGAAATTCCCAGTGTAAATATATTGTGAAAGCATCAATGGTCAACCCTTTTTTTGGTATATCACCCAGCTTTACTACATAGATTGTTGCCCCTATGTTTTGCTTTTAGTGTGGCTCGTTGTATAGGGGAACTTTTTGGAGACTAAAAATAGAATAATTTCCCCTCCTTTTCCCCAGGCTGACACACGTTCTCAGCCCCCGGCCTCTGGCTCGGCTGCTAAGATGGACCAGGTTCAGAGTCAGGTGAACGAGGTTAAAGTTATTCTGACAGATAACATCAGCAAAGTGCTGGAGAGAGGGGACAGATTAGATGATCTGATCGGCAAGACTGATGACCTGCAGGCGTCTGTAAGTATCTGATCCAGATGGTTCAGTGTTGGCTTTCCACCCTGATGTTAACGATTAGTTTTCATATATCTTTCATTCAAAGGGTTACTTCTCCTTTAAATTATATATCTTCTCCATTACACGCCAGAGTAAAAGTGTAACAATATACCAGTATCAATCATATCCGTGATATAAAAACAGGAAATATTGCTCATATTAAATATACACAATATTGTGTAAATAATCCAGGGCCCCATAAAACATTTCTGTATTTTTTTTTCTTTGTCTCTTACTCAATGCTCCACACCCAAATAACTTTAAATAATTTACTAACAGATTAAAGTTAAACCGTTTTTGGCTGTTTTAGAGTTATGTAGTTTGTAGCCTAATTTAATTACTTTTCATATTAAGATTTAACCTGCAAAAAACATATTTATTAAACACAGTGGTTACAGTGGTCATCTTATGAGTTATTTCCCAAATTAAACAATTGTTACTACTTTTGTAATTTTATTTTAAAGTGCATGACTTTTGTAAATAAGTGCTATTACATTCTAGTTTTGGTACTTTCACTTTAAAGAGTACTCCACCATTTCCTCACTGCAGTCCTTATGCATTATCATATTCGTGCTGAACAAAGCAGGAATTCATGTATTTTTCTTACTAGGCCATACACTAATTTTTCTCATCTGGCACCTTTATTACCCACAATGCAACTTGATCTTCAAAAGTTAGGTCTGGGTTCAGGTGCTAGTTTGTTGTTTTCAATATATATCTGACTTCCCGCAGCTCCATCTGGGGACACAAAGACACTATACAGTTGTTTTTAAATATGCATTATTACTCTCCGCCACCATTATTCAGACCTAGCTTTGGGAAATCGGGGGAGTTCCCCTTTTAAGTAAAAGGATGTGGGTAGTTCTTCCATCACTGGTGTTTTAAAAAGGTTTTCTCTTGGTTTCTTTCAGGCTGACTCGTTCCAAAGAACATCCACACGGGTTGCCCGGAAATACTGGTGGAAAAACATTAAAATGATGGTTATAATCGGGGTGATTGTGCTGATCATCGTTGTCCTCATCATCCTCTTTGCCACAAAAACTATATAAATCACCAAATATTCTCCTTCACCAGCTCAGGACTGAAAGCAATGAAAATTGAGGATGAAGCTCACCTCTTTTGAGCATTTCAGCATTTAAATGCACTCTTGAAAGTCTATTTTTATTTCAGCAGATATTTCAAGAAATATTTATGTACATTTTAAGAGTACAGTGCTTTTTGATTAAGACTAAGTTTAAATTCAGAATGCACAGCTTAAATTGCTAGAAACTTGACTGAAATACTTCCTTGAACACTCCAACATTCATTAAAATGTGACGTAATGTTAATATTTCACAAAGGATCACAAATCCAAATTAGTGTTATTATTTTTATTTTTATCGCATAACTTTATGTCCAATTACCTGTATATATAATGTGTGTTTATGACTGTCAAACTCTATAATAACATATGTATTATATGACTGATGATTATGATGAAGAGGATACATTTTAACATTTGCTACCACAATACTGTATATAAATAATGTGTTCTGCTCCAAACAATCAAGCATTTTGATTATGTAATAAATGACTGAGGCAAATTCACAAACGCTATTTGAGAACATTAAATACAAAAACAAGAAGGGATGGGGAATGCAAACTATTAAAGGGCCCATGTCATGCTTTTTTTCCGGTTATTACCTGTCCCCTTGTGTGTTATGAAGCTTTTTCTGCATGTAAACGGTCTGCAAAGTCACAAACCCTCAAAGTACACCCTGTAGCGAGTAAAACTCTAACACAGAAAAGACCTGTCTATGCTGCCCCAGAACGCCTCGTTGGAGATTTCTCCAAATGGACCAATCTGTGGAGCCGTTACGTTACGTCCGCGGATTGGTCCAAATTGACCGATTCGCGGACTTCCTCACACACACACACTCAATCTTTTCTCAGCTGCAGCTCCGCCGATTTCTCCTCCCTGAGACGGCGGGACGCGGCGAGGCTGTGAGTCGGTGTGTGTTCGGGATGGTTTCGCTGTCTCGCAGACGGCCACTGGGCTCATAGGGAGGGAGGGGGGGGGAGCTCCAACAAGCCGTTTATGACAGAGAGTGAATACACATACTATACAGAGAAGCTGTATGAGAAACCAATGAGATTTTGGAAAATTGCACAATATAAATCTATTCTAGTAGACCTCAACAATGGAATTATGATCAGTAGAAATGGCCATGACATGGGACCTTTAAAACTTTGCAGCAATCTAAATAAATGCAAAACATCAAACGTTTAAGAATACTCCGGTAAATGATGAGGAGAGTTACTGTAGGTCAGTGCTCTTCATTTTGTCCTTACAATCAGCTAGTGCTCTCAGCTGGAAACCTTCACTCTGCTGCCTTTCATCACTCTGAACCCTACGGAAAACAAACAACACAAATCAGCTATAGATGAACACAAAACGCTTCATTTATAAATAAAAAGGAATCCCCCTTGTTTACAATGTAAAAACCAAAATGAGAACTTTAACATTTTACAGTAACAAAAGTTAGTCCATAAGCTAGAAATCCTGAAGTGCAGTAAATTGAAGAAGTCAAAATACTAAATGGAAGAAATCTTCGATTGGTCAAAAAATACACATTACAGAAAACATTACATGCAAATTTCAGGAAACGTCTTGTTTTACAAAAGGTTATAAAGAGAAAAATGTTGTCGTTACAGGAAAATTAACCAAAGAGGAGCTCTTTCCATCGCTGTCAGTAACACAAAACAGAGCAATACATGTACACAAAGTTAAGAACTTTATCCCCCCAACACAGTCTCGTCCAAATACCAACCAGGATTTAGCTCATGGACTACTGGCTACAAGAGCTAAATAAAGAAACAAGCATTAAAGATAAGATTAGGAATGCATATATTAACAATAGGAACTGGAAAGTCCAGAGAATGCTGTACGTATCCTTCAAAAAGCAAATAGTTAATTTTACATATTTACAAAATCATTACTTGTGGGGGGGCCTGTAAAAAATGAAAATTACATGTGTATATTTTAAGTTTTACATTACAAACAGTTGCAAAGAAATACAAAATGGAAAGAAAGATGACAAAGCTGGACGTGTCCCATATTGTTTAGTTTAGAAATGCTGATACAGGATGTTGTAAGACCATACCAAATGGCAGCATTCGAGAGCGTATGCTTCTCGTACCCGGTCCGCATTGAGCGGGCCCTGAGAGTATCTGGGGTCAGCTCATGGCCTGCAAGGAAGCTCCGCTGGCAGGTACAAACAAGGTATGTCAGAGTTAGGAGACAACATACTTCCTTTTCTGTTTCCTTGCACATCCTTAACTTTGGCATCCATTTACTGTAGTAGCAGTACTTTACCTGTTAACTTTACAGATTAAAAAAAAGAAAAAGGTGCAAAAGAGGCAGCAGAAGGCCAGCTGTTAAAATAATTCGCCACATGAGCATAGCCTCTATGTTACCACTACTGTAAAGCACTTGACGGTGCTGAGAAAAAGACATTTACAAGAGGAAATTAATAAAAACGTTACCAAACAGCAAAGTAAATAAAACTAGTTTTATTTCAAAGTAAGAGGTGCATTTGTTTCTTTACATACCTACTTGAAGGTGAGTTCCCTCTGTTAATACGGCTTGTAACTGTTGGTGTGGCCACCGCGCCGCGGCGACTTGCCATATCCACCAGACTGATCTACTAATGAGGTAAAAAATCTGACTTCAGGTGTTTTAATCATTTCAAAAGTAATGGAAAATAAATGGGAAAGGTTGACATGAAACAAAGCTCGTCAGGGAGTTTCACTTACTGCTGTAGTCACCATATCCATAATAGTTGTTGTAACCAGGGTAATCATAGCTTCCATAGCCTCCATAGCCTCCATAGCCTCCATAGCCTCCATAGCCTTGATCTCCGTAACCATAATTGCCATAATTCCCATAGCCTTGATTCCAGTAGTTGCCATAACCCTGGTTCCAATTTTGATTGGGACCTGCAATTAAACACATTTTAATGAGATCATTATCTTCTTATCAAGCAATCTTTCATCTGTTTACCTCCACTCGATATACATAGTGCTCTTTTTCATAACCAGCTAGTTAGCTCTTCTATAAAAACTCAGATCAAGTCTTTTTAATTATTTATATTATGCTATTGGGCATTTTAACCCTTTATCACAGACCAATATCAATACAATTACACTTCTCAATTACGCATTAACTAGTAAGTGCTAATCTGTACAGAACAGTGGAGTCAAATTCAACGTCACGGTTTTATGGGGTGTTATGTGTTGGAGTTTTTCCTCGAGCTGCGGCAGTGACCTATTTTGATATTTGAACGCTGATTCAAGAACTTTTAAAAGTAGAACGAAGCGCTTAAAAAAGAATGGGAAGCAGAACAAAGCCACAAGCAGTTTAAACAAATGTGGCAACCCTTAGGATTTCATCATATCATGTTTGTTTAAACGTGATCATCGTTTTCCCTGCACTTACTTTAAATGTTTTATGTGTGATGCATTTGTGTTGTATTAAAAAGTATATATATTTATTCAGGAACAACTGTTTAAAGAGTCATGTCTCTTATGTTAGTCTTGGACATAGCATAACCTCTTTGTCCTTCTACTGTGTACAGAAGATTAAAGCAAGAAATGACATGGTAATTATTGAGCTGAAGAAGCGCTAACTTTGTACCACTGTTTCTAGTCTTCATCTCATTGAACCCTCTGCAATTAAGTGAATAAATGAAGTGGGTCCTATATTTTATTTTCTTCTTCCAAAGTTTCAGAATCATTTTTATGGATTAAAAGGGTGCATTATTTGTGTGCATTATATATATATTAGGTGAATTATTTATTACATCAGAGTAGTCTCCACTCACCGCCGCCTCTTCCTCGAGACCTAGAAGAGTACCCTCCTCTGCCCCCCCAGTACTGCTGCTGCTGGTACTGCTCCTTGGACATTGCCACTTTTACTTCACACTAAATGAAGAACAATTCAGTTTTATTTTCCCAGTGATCATGTATAAGTTATAAAGTCACCATTGCATGTGCCATCGCAATAACAAGGTAATACATTTTGATGTGCCAGTGATAAAAAAAGACCTTTACCTTGCTCAGTCCAATATTGTGGTACTTCTTCTCCATGATCCCCTTAACTGGTTCCTCCTCTTTGAAGGTGATGAAGCAGAAGCCTCTCCTTTTGTTTGTTTTGTTCTCCATGGGAAGTTCAACTGACTCCAGCTGTTAACATTATCAATGAATGTACAAAATAATATATAATAATAGAAGTTAAAGGTGGGGTAGGTAATTTTGGAGAAACCAGCTCGAGTGCGCTAGAATTTGAAAATACACAGCTGGAAAAAATCTGCCACTTCCTTATAGAGCCCCTCCTCCAACACACACGAACGCGCACATGACCAATGAGGGCACGAGATAAGTTTGTGCCCAGATGGAAGGCTGACAGGCAGGTAGGCCATCCAGTTATTTTAGCCGGGCCGGCTAAAATGATTGGTCGTGCTTTTTACAGCGCTACGGCTTCCACAGATGACATTTTTTTATGTATTTATTGTCAAAGCATTTCATATATTCATTGCTATCGGGATGTTAAGAGCATTCCATGGAATATAACAAAAAGTGTTTCTGAAATAAATGACATACCCCACCTTTAAGTGTTTAATTGTGATTACAAAAATAAACAATTGGAAAAAAATTATTATGAGTTTGGCAGGAGCCCTAAACAGCCATGCCACTAGAGTGAAGTTCATAACATGGATGAAAAATATATTTAGCCAACTTAGCCAAAATATATACCTCTCCGAAGGCACTAAAGTACTCTCTGACTTTCTCTTCAGGGGTGTCGGGAGAGAGACCACCAACAAAAATCTTCTTAACAGGCTCCTTGCTCTTCATCGCCTTGGCTTTCTTGGGATCAATGACCTTTCCATTGAGTTTATGTTCTTTCTGTGTGGCAACCTTTATAGCAAAAATAATCAATTGACAAACTGGTCACATTGCAATTCAAGTTCATAAACTCCACGGTTACATATTTAGATTGCTAATTTTGTCTTTAACTCAAATTATATTCAGTTAACATTCATCTTTAACAGAGAAAAGCAGCAATACAGTACCTTGTCGACACTATCAGGTTCCTTGAAGAGGACAAAGCCAAAGCCCCTCGAGCGGCCCGTCATGGGGTCCAGTTTTAAAGTGCAGTCTACAACTTCCCCATATATGGAAAAATAATCTTTCAGGTCCTTCTTAGTGGTGTCCCAGCTGAGCCCTCCTACAAACATCTTCCTACAGACAACAGCACATTTAAAAGAAACCAAAATGCAGATTTAGAAGCAATGGAGAAGCACTCATATAATTTTCTAAAGTAAACATTTAAAAAACAAGTCCTTCATTCAAAATCTAAATTAAGAGTGGTATTGTATGAAATTAAAGTACAAAAACGGAAATGTGCAGTAACATTTTCCATGCATTTCTTCTGTAATAATTACATGTCCTCTTTTGAAACATTTGTGTAAATTTGCCATGGTTAGTGTTTGAAGTCTTGTGTTATTGCCAAATTTCAAGTGACTTGAGTCCACTTGAACCTTTGGCCACTATATTCTCATAAATTAATTCTAGTAGAACAAGAGGAGACTATGCGTTTGTATTTGTTTTTCCTGGACAGAAATGTGATGAGAAATTGGAATCTAAAACGTTACTACAGCTTTCAAATGTAGAGGAATAAAAGAACAATATTTTTCTCCTGTATGTAACGTTGGTGGAGCATGAAGTTGCATGAAATGGAAAGACTGAAAAGTACCTATAATGTGTACTTGAGTACAGTAACGCTACAGTAAATTAACTCGATGTTAGTTGGACTCCACCAAATCAGCACTTGGTGAGGTTTTAACAACACAAGTTTGTTATATTATTATGGCAACACACTGATGACATAAAATAGTAACATATTGTAATCGTGGACAGTTTTTCAATCAATATGACTAATGAGTTTTATTTGTTGACGTTACCCCTCATCCTCCTCGTTTTTACTGGCGTCAATCTTTGATCCCTCGGCCTCGCCCCCCATCAGGCCACAGTCCCCGGTTGCAGACATCGGGTCATCGCTGTTTGCCTCTCCATCCTCTTCCATTCTCATCATAGTGGTGTCATCGCTGAATTCATAATCGTCCGACATTGTTGTTTGTTATTGTTAAAGTTGTCGATGATGAACTCAGAATTCAGTCAGAATTCCCGGGAGAAGCTAAGCTAGCTGGCTTTTTGACAGCTAATGCTAAGCTAATATGATTTGTTATACTTTTGACGTAAAATAGAGGAATATATTTGGTCTATCTAAATAAATAAAAGTGTAAAATCAGTTTATATCTAGACGAAAACTGTTGTCATAAATGCAAATGTTGTTTAAATTGCTACGAAAAAGGCGTTCTTGTGAGCGTCGTTTTGTTTTCATCGCAGCCTCTTTCCGTTGGCTTCTTGTTTGCGTGTTTTTTTTTCGGCAGTACTACGCTCAGTGGCGCCCCCTCGGAGCCGCAGCATGAACTGAAAGCTCTGAACATGTGTGGCTCGTTCAGTCAAGTCAGTGTTAGCTGCGAGTTGATGGCAAAGCACAGCTGGCTAGTGGCTAACAACTAACCAGGTGGTAGCCTACGTCTGTTATCGTGTGGATAACCTTTGCTCTGCGTCACCTGTCCCGGGGTTAGAGATCCAGTGAGGAGCGCCTACTTTAACTCTGTGGTGAAGCTAATTATAAGCTAGCGTCAGCTAACAAGCTGCAGACTCTTCTGAAAAATGGCCACTATTTCAATTCCTGCATGTACTAGTGCACTCCTGCTTGATATCGAAGGGACAACAACACCAATCACATTTGTAAAGGTAAGTTATATTAGATATAATTTCTGTTTTCAGCATGGTTGGCTAATTATGCAGCGTTCACTGACGACTATTAACGGCCATGCTAACAGATGACAGCAGCTAAACCAGCTAAAGATGGACGGTGTTCGACCATTGTGGCTATTCAGCTGTTGTGTTGAATGTGACTTTTAGCTTATTTTTACCTCTGTAAAGCGTTTTTGAGCACCGGATGAAGCGCTTGATAAATCAAATGTATTATTATTATTATTGTAACTACATTTAACCATATTTTGCTTCCATTAACTATTTACTGCTAAATGTATATTCACATTAAATAAACTCGTTTCAGTATGTATTCACGACTACCTGATTAAAAACAAACCTCATGCCGCGTTCATGTTATTGGAGTAGTCGTAATTTCGAGTTTCATAAATGTTACATCGGTTAACAATACATTGATACGAATACACAATAATACTTCAAATGTAAGTCATACAATATAAAAGTAAATGATGGGACAAACAAAAGTAACACAAAACAAGCAGGGAGTCAACATTAATGAATAAATGAAATGAAGTAAAACAGTCCTACACATTTTTTTTTAACTGATGGTATGTATACATTTCCACAATAGATAGACAATAGTTTCTGTATAGGAATCCCATGAGCCACAACTTTAATCAATATATCTTTTTAAATGTACCCAAAATAATAATGATCACTTAATACATTTTAAATTAAACGTCCTCTACCATACTGACCATTTTTTTAGGGTGAAACAGTACTAACTTTTTGCCAGCAATATCTGCTTACACGATTATTCCAAAAAGCTATTGAAACCAAAACAATATTGCATTGAAGTAGAGGAAATGTTTTGTGTCTGAATTATATTATTTTTCTCCCTCTATAAAGAGCTTCTGTTACCACGCCTAATGACTCCACTTCATATTTTCAGGATATCTTATTTCCATACATCAGGGAGCATCTTGAGGAGTACCTGTCTACTCACTGGGAGGAAGACGAGTGCAAACAAGATGTTCATCTCCTAAAGAAACAGGTAACCATGTGTAAAGCTTGCTGATTTGTCTTATTATGTTTCCTACTCTTTATTTGTCTCATTGGTATTGTTTTTATGTATCTTATCTTGCACTGTAATGCACTTTGGGCTGCATCTTGCATGAAAGTTGCTAAATAAATACAGTTATTATTATTATTATTGCCTGTGGTTCCCAGACACTAAAGTCAGGTGGTAGAGATGCAGGACAGATTATTTAGCAAAATATTCTTTATAAAGGTCTTAATTTTGCTCAAATACTTGACACAGGTAATGACAACAAATAACACGGATATTTTTTCTTTACTTAAAAAAATGAAGCATGTTGTGAGGCTTTAATTCTGCCTAAATAAAGGAGCCTGGCTGTGTTTGCAGATCGAAGAGGACATGAGGCAGCACCGGTCGTGCCCCGTCCACACCGTGGACCAGACGGTGCACACAGACGAGGAGAAGGCTATTAGAGAGGTAATGGATAATGTGCTCTGGCAGATGGCGGCAGACAGGAAGTCGACAGCACTCAAACAGTTACAGGGCCACATGTGGAGGTCAGCATATTCTTCTGGGAGAATCAAAGGCGAGTAAGTACACTGATCATTTTCCTCACTTCAAAATTAATGGGTTCAAACATAGGTGACGACTTGGCAAGGTTTCCAGAAACAGAACAGGAATACTGTTTTTACCCAAACAGTTCATCAACCATAGCAGAAATAATTGTGTTAGTCGTTAATTCATTTAAAGCAAACAAGCATTTATTTATTTCAGCATGATGCATTTTTCCCTTTTCTTTATCTTGTTTACTTTCTTTATCAATGTTTGATTTATTTTTAATTCCTGAAATAAGCAAACAATGGTAAACCATGCTCAAATCCATTACAAATGTTTGATCTCTGAGATTATTTTGGAACCATATAATCGGTTTCAATGTGCTTCATAAAAAGTAATTCAATTATGGTCATATTCTGATTTTGGTCTTGGTGCAAACAGGGTCTACCAGGATGTAATTCCATCACTTAAAAGATGGAGAGAACAAGGACTAAAAGTGTACATTTACTCCTCGGGAAGCGTGGAGGCACAGAAACTTCTGTTTGGATACTCTGAGGAAGGAGACGTTTTAGATGTAAGTACTGCCTCCCGTCTCTTAAGAAGAAGAACATATTTTGTAAAGCCCATGCTGTTTGTTTTATGGATATAGTGGCTAATGAGATATTTGCCTGTTTATTTTTTCAAATGATTTCAGTTATTAGATGGTCACTTTGACACCAGTATAGGAGCTAAAGTGGAACGTAAAAGCTACGAGAGAATTGCTGAGAGGATTGGATTTCAACCAGAGGAAATCACATTCTTGACCGACGTCACTCGAGGTAAGTGTGTTAGCAAAAGTCCTTAGCATTGTAAATGTATAATGAGAGCAAGAAAGTGATACATACTAGGATGTGTTCCTCCTTCCATATAAAACTTAAATTCTGTATGGAAAACAAGCTGGAAATGACTTTCTTTGTTATTATTATTCATTGCTGAACTTGTGTTATGTGTTGGTATTATTTTCCCATAGTTTTCAGCTCGACTTTGTTTAGTGCCAATTAGCTAATGTTAACTAACTAAACGTTAGCATTTAGCCTCCTCACAAAGCTGTTATTCTTTTTAACAGCGTCCTGTGGAGGAATCTTACAAACAACAATTGTGCATAATCTTCACAGAAAGCAGAAATATTTAGCTGTAAATGATCACAGCATGCAATAAACAACCAAGTTTCATTTTGCTTAAAGGCTTAATTAACATGGGATCCATGCTTGTGTATTTGTCCTCCCAGAGGCCAAAGCAGCAGAGGAAGCGGGGGTGAACGTGGTGGTGGTGGTCAGGTCCGGGAACATGGAGCTGACGGATGACGAGCGCTCCCACTATAGCCTCGTTACATCCTTTAGCCAACTGGAAGTGACGGAACGTGTTTAACACAGAGCTAGGAGGAACGCTTTGTTTCATAATGACCTGTTCTTTCTTTTCTTTGCCCTCCCAGCCCCCTCACCTCTCTCCTTTTTGCAATGTTTTTGTTTGTTCCGCGTTGACAGTTCAAAAGGTGTAGGAGAAGCTGCTGGGACTCCCGTTAGAGGTCCCGGCCTGTAAGGAGTCAATCTACCCCGGTCTGTGAGGGTGCCTTTCAATGGAGACAGATCTGCGGAGGGTTATAGCAACATCACTCACTGGGAAGAGATCAGAAAAGCTGTAAAATGAGGCCTGCACACATGACCTTTTTAACCACGCTCGTTTGGTAAATCTCTCCAATTTTAATGACAACTTTCCAACTGTTTGTGTCGTATTTGTCACCGTTTTGTAAACATTTTCCATTGATGTGCTGTTTCCTCCCCTCTTCACATACACACGTGTTGCAGATGTATGACGTTTTATCCAGTGATTGACCCGTTAAGCGTTGTAATGTTTTAGAAAGTAGAACTACAGTGTAGATGCACTCAGCAGTGGTGCTGCTGACAGGAAGTTCTCAGTTCAAACTCTGTCTTAACTAGTCCCCTCGCAGGTGAACGCTATCTGTTTAACTGTGCCATCCTCGTAATGTTGCTGTTGGAAAGTTACCTTTTGCAAGTTGCCAAATTGATGATTTATGTGTGTGAAACATAATTGGTGTTATTCAGGAAATCTTACAAACATGCTTCCAATAAATGCCTTGTATCACACAGACGCCTCTCTCCTCTCTCAGTCTAAATGTTTGTTTGACCGTGTCTATAAATACTTGGTTTCTGTAATGGAAAAGCTTACACATTTATAACTCTTAAGGCTAGTTAAAGTGTCAAACTCCTAAAATAAGTTTATTTTTCGCTAGTGGTATTGAGTCATAAAGTCTAAGTCATTATTACATGTAGGTATATTTTTTTATTTGCCCTCTTTTAAAGCGTTAGATGAGAAGATTTATACAACTGTCTCACAGAGTGGTATCAAATTTACTTTTAACTTTTGCCACAATAGCACATTTATTTCTCAAAATAGTGAACTATTCCTTTTAATAAATTAGGAGTTGCTTTAAAGAGATGTGCAAATACCTTATTTTCTCAAATGTTTAAATCGTTCTAGATTTTAATTTAGTTTGGCTTGGTCACCATTTATGTAAACAAATATTTCCAAGGCACACCTTTATAATTATTAGGATAAATAACAACAGGTTTGAAATCATTCCAATGTATACTATAGGACAGTAACCTAAAATATCGTTTAAAACTGGAGATATTAAAAAAATATGCATAAATAAATGTTAACTAGGTAAAATAAGATATGAATGAACAACAAATATAAAATACGTTACATTTATTTGTCATTGGCTATATCCAAACAATAAAGACTACATCTCATCGGATATTAAACAGTGTATCCGACGAAGAAATATCGCTTTTCAAAAGAACGATGCAATACAACTGAGATCAGCTCAAAGAGAACTAAAGGGGAAACTTAAAGGGGACCTATCATGCAAAATGCACTTTTGTACGTCTTTTATACATGAATATGTGTCCCCGGTGTTCCAGGGAACTCACCAAGTGTCAGAAAACACAACCCTCTCTATATTCCTCCATACCCAAATCTCTAAAAAAGGGGCTGCCTTATATAGGTATGGTCCTATACTATATTATTCAAATATAGCATGATAGGTCCACTTTAAAGAAGCCAGAGAGCAACATAGTCTGAGTGTCCGAGAAGCTTTCTCAACCAAGAACTCGAAAGAACTGTGGGACTCTGTTAAAGAAATTACAAATCTGAACTCCGGCAAGAGGGAGATGCATGTTCTGGATGAGCTTAACAAAGCAAATGAACTTAACAACTTATACAAACGTTTTGATATTAATTCTGCTTCTAACATTGATGCATGTAATAACTTGTCAACCTCTTTAACCTGTGACCCAATACACAATAGAAGAATAATAATTGATGATAGTGCTGTGGCCAGGGTTTTCAAACAACTGCATACATAAGAAGGCCAGTGGGCCAGACGGTATTTCGGCACTCCTGCTGAAAACGTTTGCAGATGAGCTCACCCCTGCCTGGAGTCCATTATCCCAGCTCTCTGCTGACACGGGAAGCATCCCTCAAATATGGAAGAAAGCTGTCATCATACCAGTTGCAAAAAAACCATGCCCACATGACAACAACGACTTCAGACCAGTGGCTTTGACCTCAATAGTTATGAAGTCACTAGAACGGATTATTGTAGGGAACTGAGGTGCAACACCTCTTGGACCCCTACCAGTTTGCGTATAGCGATGGTAGAGGTACAGATGATGCTCTGACCTCTACAACTCACTTTATTTTAAAACACCTGGAAAACCCTTCAGCTTATGCTAGATTAATGTTCATGGACTTTAGCTCAGCTTTTAATACTATTCTTCCCCAAATTATGTTAAAAAAGCTCAAACAGATGGATGTGAATCCTTACTTAATCAGATGGTATCACTCCTTCCTAACTGAAAGACAGCAGCAGGTGAAAGTAAACTCGACCCTCTCTGACACACAGGTCATAAGCACAGGGGCACCACAAGGCTGCGTTAGCTCTCCTCTTCTCTTCACACTCTACACAATAGAGTGTAGGAGTCAGCACACCCACAACCACATTATAAAGCTTTCTGATGACACAGCCATACTTAGTCTACTGACTAGAGACTCAGACATTTCTATTTATAAACTTGAGATTGAAGAGGTCGTGAAGTGGTGTGAGGCGCACAACCTGGTGTTAAAGGTTAAAAAAACAAAGGAAATGATCTTTGACCCCAAGTCAGTAGGTGATCACAGCCCAGTCCTTATCAACAGGGAGGGAGTTGAGCAGGTTTCACGGTTTAAATATTTGGGGATTTACTTTGATGCTCAGTTAGGCTGGGCCCATCAGGTGGATCAGGTATGCTCAAAGATAAGCCAGCGCCTGCATTTTCTGCGTAGGCTCAGGGTTCATGGAGTGGATAAATGTATCATGTTAATGTTCTACAGGGCAGCAATTTAGTTTATTATTCGATATGGCATCACAACATGGTTGGGTAACTTGTCAGTTAAATCGGGCTGGAAAAATAATTGGCATGCTTCCACCATCCTCTCTTCAGGAGATATTTGAGGAGATGGTGATAAAACAAGGCCGTAAAATCACATGCGACCCCAAACACATGCGACCCCAAACACATCCTGTATAGAGAGTTTGAGGGCAGAAGGTATAGATTACCAGACTGGAAATTGAACAGGTATAAGTTTTCCTTTGTTCCACTGTCAATCAGGCTGCTGAACAGTCAGAAACAATTGTGATTATGCTGTATTAGGAGTTGTTGGGAGGTGAAATGTTTACAGTGTAGTATGTGCAATCGAGAAGGTTAAATAGGGAAAGTGAATTATGTGTAAATAGGTATGGACACAATAGGGATATGTGCAATTTGACGGACACTATGCATAGGTGCAATAGGGAAAGTGCAATATTTGATTTGTGTATGAATGCAGTAGGGAAGGTGCAATATTTGATTTATGTATAAATACAATAGGGAAAAGTGCAATATTTGATTATGTATGTGCAATAGGGAAAGTGCTGTACCTGTATGTTTCTTGTTTGTTTCTTTGCCATGTGATATGTGATCTCTGTTCTGTATCTATGACTGATTGACCTGAATGTTTTATGTTTATTATCTCGATGCCCAAGACAAATTTCTCCTAAGGGAGACAATAAAGCTCTATCTTATCTTAACCCCCTAGATCTAGTCTCTATTAATTCTGCTCAAAGTGCACCAGATTGAAGCATTTTACTTTAAAATGTTAAAAAAAATATTTCCGGGGGGGCAAACACCCGAACCCCCCTAGAGTCCACCCCCCAATTAAAACATGTTCATACAAAAATGAATACATTTGAAACCTTCTTTATGTATACAACCAACATGTCAATACGTTTCAGTTTTTGTAGTGTATTGGTCTTTTGTAGAGATTTTTCATTTATTCTTTATATATTCTATTGTGTATTGCTTGGAGGGGGGGGGGGGGCACCAAATCATAATCTCGCCTAGGGCACCAAAATGTCTAGGGCCGGCCCTGGGTATAACGAATTCACTAAAACATCCTTCCATATAAATACAATGATTGATAAAGCCAGCAGATTCTCTACTTCTAAAACGCTTATAGCGGAACTTGCATTCATTACGTCATGATGTGAAACTAATGGTTAAAGTAAAGTCAACAATTGGTGTAAAAACAGTTTTGTATATAGAATAAATGCATCTTAAAGTTGCTGTTCCATGCGTTTCCTGCAGTTAAACCTGCACATCTTTAAAGGAGATAATCCATCCTTACAGTTGGTCCGGCTGGTACCTGGACACTTCTAAACTGTCCGACAGGCTTTCAGGACCCCCTGAGTGTTCTGTACACATGATGTCAAAGCGGTTGTGACGAAACTCAATGCCGAAAGTGCTGAGGAAGATGAGGAAGAACATGACCAGCGCCCACTGGCACTGAGCGGCCTGCATGTGGAAGCCCTGAGCCATCAGGGAGAAATCTGTAGCAGGGAGTTAAGAGTGACACTTGTAACTGAGGGATTACAGTACATGAAAACACAACCTGGCAACATGTTAACTCTTAATTCTGCTATAAAAATCTGCATGACGTGTAATGTGGGATTATTTTTTTTAGACTTCATCCAACCCTATAGCACAGGGCTAACATTTTTCAAATAAGGAGATTGAACAGAACATTTCAATATTGCCTTTTTCTGAGTTTTTAATTGTCAATGTGGTTAAACCATTGTTTACTAAATTAAGTACATTAATACTGAGTACTATCGACAACCTCAAAGCAAGAAAGACTTTTATATAAAGATTTGACCCAATTTCCCCTTGAGATAAATAAAGTATTCTGAGTCTGATGACAGTACTTACTAGTAACGCTTTTGTGGCAGGAACTTAAAAAACGTTTGAACAGAAGTAATTTACTTTTAAATAAGATGTTAAGTTCTTTCTTAAAGTGTTAAAGGATACAGAGTATCATGCAGAGAGTGATGGATCCGGACAACAGGAAGCGGAGGATCCCGGCCTTCTTCCCTTCGTTCTTCAGGTTGGCTCTCAGGGTGATGTAGGACTGCACCCAGCAGAACAGTGTGCCCAGGCCAAACGTCATCAAGGTGCCAAAGTTGTGGATCATCTCCTCAGTGAATATCTAAAACCAAAACAGATCAATCAACTCTTATAAATATGCAAAAATATAAATGTGCCATAGGTGCACGTTACCTGGAAGTTTCCTACTAGTGTCATCCCAAAGCAGGCAAAAGAGAACGCCAACAGACTGCCAGCATTCAGACACTGACTGACCACTGTGTGTTTCAGCTGAAGGTATCTGAGGACGGCCAGAATGAAGCCTGAAATTGACAAGAATGGAACATTAAACATTTTTATAAAAATCTGTAATATATTCTTCTATCCACCATTCTTACCCACAAACGCAGCCAGGTTCATGACTTCGCTGAAGATGCAGCTGGCAGGTGGAGAGTTGCCTGCAACACTAAAAGGGTGACACATTTGTATTTGCTGTTCTTAAAAATAAGGATTAACATGAATAAATATGCTTTTATTGTGAAGAGGAAATGATGAGTCTGTACCTAATGTAGGGAGGATAGAAGGATCCATTTCTTCTCCTGAAAATAATTAAAAGTGAGATGAATCCAAAGATAAAGAGAGTAATGCTTTGCTGTATGTAATATTTTTGAATTCTTACTTGTATTTTGAACCCAGGGGTGCTATAGTCTGATGATTGACAGCAACAAAGTATCTATAAAAAAAAAGATGGCGATGAGGAGAAACTCATCTCCCATTCAAAGCTTCCAACCACAGCAAAGACACACAATCTCCACAGAGATTATATTTACAGCACACTGCAAAAACATATATGAATTGGTGAAGGAAAACGTAAGATGTGGGTTCTATTATCTTAAATTATTATCATTTGTTTAAATGTCGCTTTAAAACTGATATTTAAAGATAGTCCTATAATTAAGAGAACTTACACCACCCACAGTCCCGCAGCAGTGAAGGCAGAGTAGACTGGAGGCAGGAGAGCCCAAATACTGCAGCTCCACATCCTGTCTCTCCTGGAACACAGAGGGGGATGCTTTGTTAGTTTATTAAAAGGTATTAATTTGTTTAGAAGAATAAAATAGAAAATATTCCATTGTCAAATTGCACAAGACATTTGTAGATTCAAGACTCAAGGCTTTATTGTCGTGTGCCCAGTAGCTACAGTGTAGATATGGCAATGAAAAACTTAAGTCCCAGGCTCCTCCATCAATTCAACATGAATATATATAGGACATAAAACAAGTAAAACCAATACAAATAGTGCAATAAGTGCAAGAGAATGTTTTGAGATGTGTTGTATTTGCATGTGCAAGATATGCTATTAAAAAACATGAAAACAAACCATATCACATGCAGATGTGACACACATTTACATACAATTATAATAAAGTTATATTCAAAGAAGCCCCAGGGCTGAGTCAAGGTTAGGTAAGGTATAAAATGCTGTGTGATGAGGTGGCAGCTGGTGGGAACATTTACTTTAAAAGATATGGAGGCTCAGGCTACATGTCAACATTAGCACTACAAGTGAAAATATACACAGGCTTTATCTCACCTGTATCATAAAGTACATTAGGTACTTCTTCTAGGTATTCTATTTAATAAACTCCAAATTGAACTCAATGAGAATACAGGGAGTGAGAAGCAGAAACAAATGTGTCATTTAAGTACGAAACAGGGAATTCTTGCTCTGTAAACTAATAATAACTGTGGATGAAACTGCCATACCTGTCCGGCTGTCCGTCCTGTGGATACTCTCACCGGACTAACCCTCGGTTGTTCAGCTGCAGCAGTAAACACTGTAAAACTCTGTAAATGTATCCTCTAATTTATCTGTTTATATCTAATGTCGCTGACAAATGGTCGTACATATACTGCTAAAGGTATATGGTGTAAATGTGGAGGAATGAAGGGAAAGTGTTCTGCACGTCTTCCGGTGTGGACAATGCTCCTTCAAAATAAAAGCATGGGAGTGTTAATATTTAAAAATAAATAGATGAATGAATACAGTATCCTTATCATGGTCCTTACTTTACATATGCAGGGTTGAAATAAGTTTTATTTTGTATAACTTAAGTAACTATTATAAAAACGACTTCTCATTTAAAAGAAAGAATTATCCTCAAAGTTCAACCTTGATCAAGTCATTTTGCTTATATTATATCCTGGACCTCTACAACACCCGCCTCATCCGCAGAGCACTCAGCATCGCTGGTGACCCCACCCATCCCTCCACCTGCCTCTTCACCCTCCTGCCTTCAGGGAGGAGGTTCTGCAGCCTGAGGTCGAGCACCACCCGACTAAAGAACAGTTTTTTACACCAGGCTGTGAGGAGGCTGTGAGGAGGCTGAACTCTCTCCCCTCTCTCCCCCCTGCCCCACTGGACTATAACTCCCCACACACACTCAAGACACTTTCTTTTACGCTGCTATGGACAATCTTGCAATAAATGCACATTCTATGGACAATCTTGCACTAATGTACATTCCCAAAGATATTGATATTGAAGTGACTGTTATTTTATATATATTGATTGTTGTGTTTTTTATCTTAATGTGTGCATGTGTAAATGTGTCTGTTGATTGTGTATATAGGATATACATTAGGGTGGTCCTTAGTGCCATGTACATTTTCAAATTCATTTATTTTGAGCTCCAACCACCGGAATTCGTTATGATAGTCAAGAAAACTCTCCTGGTGAATTGTATTCAAATTCCAACAACATTTACCCCTCCCTCATCAACCTTGACGTTTAGCCTCAGTAGGGTGGTCCTTAAAATTGAAAGTCGGAAAGTCTAAGCTCCAACCCCCAGAATTCATTCTATTAGTCAAGAAAACTCTCCTGGTGAATTTTTTCCTCAATCTGACAACATGTACCCCTCCCTCATGGACCTGGGCTGCCACACCAGCAGCCACGGTGCTGCAACTGAGGCTAAACTTCAAGGTCGATGAGGGAGGGGTAAATGTTGTCAGATTGAGGAAAAAATTCACCAGGAGAGTTTTCTTGACTAATAGAATGAATTCTGGGGGTTGGAGCTTAGACTCTCCGACTTTCAATTTTAAGGACCATTCTGTATATTGTATAATTGTATTTTTGTATTCGGGATATTTGGAAACGTCATTTCGATCTCTCCGTCTGTACACACAAACTGAAAGATTGACATTAAAGTTGACTTTGATAGGCTACATTTCTTCGAACACAGCAACCTATTAGGGCTGGATCCATCTGAATCATGCTTTACAATCAAAATACATTATTACAAGACTTGAGTAGGCCTTGTCTTAAAAACACACTTTTAAAAAAAAACGTTAAAGAAAAGAAACTAAGTTCAAAACAACACAAGATCATATTGTAAATAAATACTATTTATTGAAAATATTGCATGTAGTCAATCTTAAACAAAGACTTGTTCTCCTTTATTAACAACATTAGCTGAGGTTGACCCCTCAGACTGGAGCCCTCATCATAGTTGGAATGAAAACCAAGTACAAGTCTCTTTCCAGTTTCCTTCTCAGGTCTAATTAATTAGCCGTTAATTACCTCCAAAGCCAGTAAAGAAGACAGTTAGCGTTTGTTTAAGCATGCATACTTTACATTTCCATAAAAGCAAAGTCTCTTTAAAAAAAAAAAAAAGGTCATTGCACTCTGCTGAGCCTCGTGATTACACTGAAAGAAACCTAAAACATGAATAAAACATTTAAACATCCTAAAGAAATGGGATTGCTTGGCTTTGCAGTGACATATCCCGACAATATCTTGGTCCAATGTGTTGTATGCAGTGACACCAGTGGTGAAAGTGAGCCAGTGTAAGCAGAGAGAGGGGATTAAAGCTCTAACTAAAGTCGTGTTAGGTACATTAAAAAAACAACTTGCTTTAAATGCCTCTGAGTTGGACTACTGGTTTAAAATCAATCTAATGCCCTGTTTCTCATTATTCATATTTAATCCACATTCTGTCTCTATCTTCCATTTACTGCATCATCTGCAGATCAGTTGCAAAATGCATGCAGGCGATGATGCATTTATTTAAAAACAAAGCAAGATTTTGTTCATAAAATCTATGTTTAATGAATTATAAAAGTATCTGAGCATTATTGTAGTGCACAAATATAGTGAGACAATAAAAGTCTAATATGTTAAATTGATTGCGGTTTGCTTGGTCACGCACTTCTATATCATCAGCAGGCTTCTGTTAATGCCAAATTCATTGAGATTTAACTTGAAATACACTACTTTTATTTCAAACATCTCAACACAAGTAGATCAAATATATCTTTAAAATTCCTGAATGTCGCTTTTCTCATTTTGCTACAAGTTTGTATTTAAAGCTAGTTTAATTTTTAGCATGTTGGTAGATTAAGGGCGAATTTGAATTTAACTAGTGTCTAGCCCTTTATTCATTGTGAGATTGTGTTTGCACAGGACTCAGAATTAACTTTCACCACTGAGCGCGACTGATAGCATGGCTTGTGTTTGAGTTGTGTCAGAAAACATGAATGGCACAAAGAAGAATTTAACAGGATTTCCATACGACTTTCTCGCAAATCTTCCATCATTTGCACCGAGTCATGGTGGATCTCCCTGTGACACGAGCCCGACCGCTCTCTCTTCATTTTGCACGGGTCAAAGACTCGGAGGAGTTTCTGCCCGTCACACCCCCAGTTTGTTGGCTTGCGTCAGCACCACCTTGAGCACGGGCATGAACGCCGACGTCTCGCTGAAGTTGCTGCTACTGACTATGTGTGTGTGGATGTTCAGGCCCTCCATGTAGGATCGGGACTCTACACTCCGGGCGATGTTATGAAGTCCTCCAACGATGGCGGGAGAAAGCTGTAGAGAAGAAGAAGAAGAAGAAGAAGAAGAGCAGGAAGTGTTGGTGAGAAGCATCCTGTGTAAAGTTTCCCAGTTACAGTTATTAAGCAGGATGTATCAATCGATTGGTCAAACTATCCTAATATTTATCAGGATGTTGGGCCTCATGCACCATCAGTTCAGTATATTTCTCCTAAACATTTCTTTATTTACTTTAAAAATTGCCTCTATTCGTTTTTAAACAAATTCACTAAGCCCTCTAAAACTGAGCAAATATTGGACAGATTGAGCTGGATAGTCTGAGGAAGGTCATAGTGTCTTATTTATAGCCGGATTGATTACTACGATTGTTAGGATTTATGGATGGACAGACATTTCGGTCGGCTTTCTGCGTTTTTTTCCAATCCAATTTATCTTTTATTTAACCAAAAGATTGGTTCCTAATTGTAGTGAGCTTGTTTGAATAATGACTGAAGTAGTACGTTGTGGCTAAAATGGTTGTCTTGAAGGAAACCGTGCTGTGAACTAAACTGAAATCTGCTGCGTCTTCATCTATCCATCTGCAGCTCAATAAAAGGCTGTTGGATAATGTGACCGGAAGTGTTCTTGGATCAAAGCTGCATAAAACTGACCTTCTAATTTTCATTGTCATTTTAATGATTAGAATTTTTCTACAGAGATCAAGCCCAGAGGAATACTCACTGTCTGCTCTCTGAGTTTATCATAGAGGGCTTCCAGACGTTTGTTGGCATCATCAAGCTTCCTCTTAGTTTGCTGTGAAAAGATACACAATGATTACAAATCGAATCACTTTGTGATGTAGGGATAGATTCAATTGTTAACCCTGTGAGATTTACTTACAGGGTCCATAGCCACAGCCAGGCATTTCTGGATGAGCCCCTCAAAGGTGGTCTTCAGGATCAGGTGCTCATCAGGGATGGGCTTCTTCATGATCTTCTCAGCAGGGATGGACTGCAGAGGCTAAAGATGACAATTGAAATAATAGAAGTCTAGTTTAAAAAGAAATTGTTAGATGTTATCTTTATATTCTGCAGCAGAGGTGATCAGTACCTGTATAACATCTCCAGTTGGGGCTCCTGGGGCCCCCTCCATACTGGTCTTAGGCATGGCAGGGTTCATGGGTGGAGGGGAGAACTGCTGCTGCTGCTGCTGCTGCTGCTGCTGCTGCTGCTGCTGCATGCCTGAGTACGGGACCTGGGCCCCGTGCTGGCCCTGACCCATAACCTGAGGGGCCCCCGATGATAGTGGCTGAGCCTGGGGGTCAGCGCCCAGAGGAGCCATGATGGGAGCAGTGATGGGGGTAGGAGGGGTGTAGTTCGTCGGAATTGACTGAAAGATGAGAAATATGGTTTATTCATATACCATTATAAAACGGTGTACTGTCTTTTCTGACAGGCTAGGTTACATGCTTCAGTCAGCAGACTTACCTTCTTCCTTGATGCTCTGTTCAGGGCAGGAGGGTCATTCCAGCCATTCTGAGGACCTACAGAAAAAGAATCCTAATCATTCACTCATTCAAACTAACAGGACAGAGTCTATTTTATGTTTTAAAATGCTTTAATTTATGCCTCTCGTGTCTGCACACTTAATACGAAGCTCCAGCTGTTGGTTAATAATGAGGCTATTATTAGGGAACAGCTAGCTGGCATCTGTTCAAAGGTAAGGTGATTCTTGCATCCAGTGTTTATTCAAAGCTAAGCTAACTAGCAGCAGATAAAGATTTTGAAACCCCAAAAAGCATTTTCTTTTAAACAAAAATTTGAATTTCCATTAAAACATATTTTATTAATTTGTCTGTTAAAAAGGGAGTGAACATATAAATATGTTTTGTTTAACTTGACCTAATTTCTATGCATATTTAATTTTGTATAACTTTAATTTATAAATAAACATTTATTCTGGTGGCATATTCCAGGCTTATGAATGCAGTTAGTAAATTGTTATTAGTTTATACATAACAATACTTTGCTGTGTATGCGCATACTACAACCTGTTTTAATTATGTATACATTTTACTATTACTGCACCCCTGTCTACCACAGTTATATATTTTATGATATTACTATTTTTAAAGCTGCTGCACTATCTTATGTTCTAGATTATATTTAGATTTTCCTTGCAAGACTTCTTTAGAAATATGTGCCCTAACATTGGTAATGGGAGTCTTTTAGCTGCCTTGTTCACTGCAATTGCTGAGCACAAACTAAAATCTGTCTTGTATCTTAAAAGGATAAAGGAAGTGGGTGAGTTTGTGAGGTGGCCTGGAGCCCTGCAGACCTGAGGCGGGGTCAGCTGTGTACCTGAGACTCCGCCCTGTTGAAGAGGAGGAGGAGGAGGCATGTACGACACAGGAGATCCTGGCCCGCCATGCTGGAAAGAAGCTCCGGAGGTTGGAGGAGCGGCAAAGGAGGAAGAGGAGGATGTTGGATAGAAAGGAGGATATGAGGGAGAGGAGGAGGACGGGCACTGGCTGATGGGAGGAGGTCCGGGATAGACCGGGGATGTGGGCTGTGTGTAGTGAGAGAGAAAGCCGGCAGGCTCTGCTGGAGGGGCAGCAGAGGAATACTGCAGAGGCTGATAGACAGGCCCCCCCCCAGCTCCAGGATGGTACTGGTTGACCTGGGGGTAGGCTGGGAGTCACACAGGATACAACACATGCTGTTAGTGAACAACTCACTCTGTTCCATGCTTTACTAACTGTTTCATGCAACAGGACAGACCTGTAGTTACATAATGAGTTACAGTACAGAGCATGCTAACATGCTATACGAGTAGCTTCTAGGTCATAAAAGACTCAACAGGCAAAGAGATCAACTTAAAATGAAAGGCTATTCACTTTCATTTTCTGTTAGTGATTGAGAATAATAGCATAGAAGAGATTCAAACATTTCTGAATGGAAATGCTTGTCAGTGTTGTAAAAAAGGACAGAAAAAAGATTCTACAGTAATGTTGCAGCCCTGTCTCTTACCAATAATATGTTTTACACTTTCTAATTTACTTTGCCGGAGACAAAGTTGCAGCCAAGATTTTTTATTTCAAGTTAAGGACTGTAACGTTTGTATACTTCGCCAAACAGAGTCCCACAAGGGGTTAGGTTTGGCAATTATGATGCATTCAAACCTGACCTGGTTGATTTGGTTTCATATTATTCTGACTTGTTATGGCTGATGTTGAAGCTTTTCAGGTTTAAAAACTGGATTGAGTGCGTTTTCTTAAACCTATAATTCGATTGCTCTGGTTTGAATCATTGAGTTACTACCTTATTGAATTCTTCATTTTAAACCACAGATTGTGAAAGTGACCATAAACTTACGCTGGTACTGATGTGAGTACATGTAAGCAGGAGTGGAGGAGACAGGAGGTTGGGCGTCCGTGCCGGGCGGTGGCATCCCGTACATTTGGTTTGAAGGCTCCACCTGCGGAAAATACATAAAGAAAACTGAAACCATGTTTCAAAAAGAAGAAGAAGAAGGGGAACTGTCCATTGATGACTCCCTTTGCTTCTACAGAAGATGAATCCAGCAGGGAAGACTTTGAAATATTTAAAAACATTTCTAAAAATCAGCTCCGACTATACATGTTGTAAAATCAAAACGCTGATGACATGGTAAAGCATCAGTAATACTAGCAATAATAGAATAGTTAGAATAAATGAATGTATGTTTTCAGAGTGGTCTTGCTTTGTTAAGTCCCACTGCTCATCTTTGCAAATAAGAGAGAAAATAAATAAAGGATTTAGAGCTTGGTAAGTCCTTTGGTCAGTGCTCTCAAATATATGTTTTACATTAGGACTAGCTCAGAACAACAGACTGTAAAAACAAACTAAAACTAAGCGTGGTGTTGCAACACACAGCACGTAGTCCTGTGTTAAATGCTCTTCTGTAATGTGTGCAGTTCAGGAGCATTATGTTTGCTAACAAGGAACAGCATGCATGTCGGTGATCGTGTAGTCTGTACATTGGAGTGAAACAAGAGACACAAATGAAAGAATGAGTGGAGAATGCATCAACAGGAAGTGGTTGGCCAAGGGAAGAAGCACCACCACAGAAAAGCACAGCATATGTTAGTAATAGGGAAGTCTGTGTGCAACAACATCTGTAAACATCAGTGTGTGTACCTGCTGCTCTGAGGGCCTGCCTACTTGAGAAGGAGGAGGAGGGTGATGGGGGAGGGCTGTGGGAGTTTGGTTACTCCAGGAGGTGACAGTAGAGGCAGCCCTCACCTGAAGCACACAGAGACACACGGCACACACCAATGATGGCCCGGCATGGAGAGGGAGGGGGGACACACACACCACAACGCACACACATTGCACCAGAGCCAGGGTTCAAATTACAGGAACACAACTCCCCCTCAGCACCCACCCCACAATAAGAACATTATTCATTAATATTTCACAATTAGGTTTAGGAAATAGCATGTGATTTAAACCCTGGCAAGAATGGAAATTCAGTAAATGAAATGACATCAACACAACAGCAATGAGCACTTCACCAGGTGGTTAGTTAGTAGGTAATAGGGATGAGGTTTGATAGCATTTTATCAAATACAAATCCAATACATAATCTACTTAAATGTGAATCCTTTCAAAACTCTTACTGAATGAGGTTTTCTTTCAGCAGTTTTAGTGGCAGCCTTTCACGTACAACCTGTAGCTGCAACCTTAAAATGGGGTTAACAGCAAATGATATGCAATATAATAACTTAATGTTAAAAAGTGATAATACAATCTTTGTTTAAATACAGCTGCAGAGAGCATATTAGCCATAGAATATTATGTATTATTATTATTATTATTATTATTATATATTAGTCTATTATCTCAAGCTGATGTTAATTTTTGTATTCAGTTATTCAAAATATGAGACTGCCATTTGTATGCATTTCATTGCTCTTTGCTACTAAAGGGAGAAAGGAGGCAGGAGAGATCTGATAAGAGATTCGTTCGAGTCTGAGTTTAACATTAATATATCAAACCCATCCCTAGTACGTAACCTGTAGATGTTGATGTCCAAGAAAAAGGAAACCAGTCTGTGTGAATCCTGATGTCTTTTAAAACATTAGACATCAGGTTTCACACAGATTCAGGTTTATGAGCAAAAGGGAAGAAACTTGAACTCTGAAACTCAGAGGGACGTACCGGCTGGTAATACTGCGGCTGTGCTGGGGCGGAGGCAGCAGGCGTTGGCATGGCCACAGGGGGGGCTGCTGCACGGGGCTGAGGCACCATGGCAGGTTGGACCGGGGTAAACAGAGGTCGGGGCAGGGTGGGCTGAGGTTGAGTGGGGGCCGGAGGCTGGGACTGAACTTTCTGCGTTTGTACCAGAGCTGCTGGAGCGGCAGGAGCCGCAGCTTGCTGCCCCAGAGCCCGACTGAGGCGGTCACGAAGCTGCTGCACGGAAACCTGTAAGGTCCAAAAGGGAAAGGGACATTTAGAGGATTACTCAAATGGTTTGCAATTGACTAAAGGCTTTTCTAGCTGTGACATAGGAAGAAATAAACACAAGAATATAGAACAGTGGAAGTTGAATGATGATTACTATTTTTTTTTTAATATATTTCCCATGCATATTATGAGCTAATAGAGGTATGTATATTATTTCACGTCATATCAAAGACCCAAAATGAACACTATAAACGGACAACTACATGACTATGAGCTATTTAGTCAAACAGCATTTGTATAGGAAAATATGTCCCAAGCTATTTGATCAATATAAGCGGTTCAAGTGTACATGATTTTATAAATAGCTGGCGTTCATACCTGGTTGGTGTTGTCGGGCAGGTAGGTGATGGCGGTGGTCAGACTGCCCTGGGAAGCCAGCAGGTTTGCATACTGACTCATCTTCTCAGCCAGCAGGATGCCAATAGCAGCGGGACCAGAGCGCTGGGTCTGCTCTACGGCACGACGCAACACCACCACCTTCTCCACCAAGTCCTGAGGGAACGAGACAAGGACCCCATTTAAACAACAATGTTTAGATTTAAGCCGCATATACAGACTTTATTTTGGAGCAACACAGTAACTTGAAAAAATCAAAATCTGACAACTCTTTTTTTCTTCTCTACTATCCCTGCATTTCCACTGTTGCACAACACTAAGATATTATCACCTCATAACGTTTTATGGGGGTTATTAACACATCCAGGAGAAAGAGACTAACATTATCATTCACTTGGTGACAGGTTTACTCTGCTTTTAGTTCTTTTTATGTCTCGTTCCATGGCTCCACAGAGATCAAATTTCATACCATTGTTTTGCTGTTATGCCCACAACATTAATGTTTTAGTTCAATGCTCTATTAACTCCTTCTTTTTTTTTTCGGTCAGCAGGCAGGGTTTTTTTATATAGCAGACAGACGAAGTTAGAGACCAACTTATGATCATGGTGGAATATTTAGAAGCTAAAGAGCCATATACTATCCTCACGAGTTGTTATAAACAAAGAACTACGCTAATAATGAGAATATTTAACAACACAATTGTGGAGATGCTGCCCTTAAGTGCCCAGATAAATCATTTTTTGCAGGTTTTAGTTAGAGACACACCTGGAGGGAGAGTGGACAGTGTCCATCTTGTGACTTGGTCCAGCATGAAACAAGTTTTTCCACGTTTCCGGCACAGATGTAACACAGACAGGCCTGCGCCTGCAGCTGGGCGTCCTCTCCTGCCTCCAGTCTGTCCCCGAGAAGATCTGACAAGCAAGACACTTCAGTTAGAGAGCACCAATTCACAGCTAATAGACAATGATGAAAAACTGGAAGCAATGATGAAACTCAGCAACAACGTGTCAGCAACACTCTGGTCTAGTGTGGTCTCTCAGAACAGTAATATGCATGTATCCTTGAACTAACCACAGAGGGAAGAGAATTTCTCGGGCTCAGCGTAGGTCATGACAGCAGCCAGAGCCTCCTTCCAGTTCTGCAGCTCACACGTGGTCAGGATGTCGTGCCAGTCCTTCAGCACCACTGCACTGATCAGCTGCAGGACAGAAACACACGTGTATATATAGTAAAAAGTATTCCAGTATTTTACTTAGGTAAGGTACAAATACCTCAAACTATTATACAATTGTTTATCCCCTTCATGTTTAGTAAAGTGGTCTTTCATGACAAAAACATTCTCCAACTTCTTAGCTTTTTTATGCAAGACCGCTTTCTGGTCAATTAGAACAATAGAACATAAATATTAATCCATATAAAATATAATATTAAAATAATGTTACGGCACATTTTACTGCTGAATGAGTACTTTTACTTTAGACTCTTAAAGTACATTTTGCTGATATAATTTTTACTTAAATGCAGTAGTTAAGTAAGTTCAGGGTAAGGAATTAGTCATTTCAATTAGCAAACTAGATCTGGATACTACTTCAACCACTGGTTATATCATCAATAATAAACTCCATTTATAAAACTGTTGTTGTTACCTTGGTTATCTTGCTGTGTTTCTTGGTAAAGTACTTCTTCTGTGTTTTCTCTAAGAGGTCGGCTCCTCCGGCGATGGCTAGGATGATACTGTCTGCCATCCTGTTGTCATGGAGACAGAGCTCCACAGCTCCCTCGAAGTCTCCGGTCAGCAGCGCCTGGGTGATCAGCCCGTCCACATCTAGCAGGAGAACGAATAATAAAACAATATGACAACAGTTTCTTTTATCTAGTTTGGTCTCTCGCTCTGGCTGATGGTGATATTGAGTCAAATCTGCTGCAAAAGAAGGGATCCCACTTTTAATCGGGAACATTTCCAGTGACAATCTACATAGTAGGAAGAGACAGGGATCACACCATACACTGATATGTTCCCCTTTGTGGAAGTCTGATTATAAAGAAGTGCAGTCTATGGCTATAACTTGGGGAAAAAATACTTTTTGGACCGATCTGTTTTCCACAGGATCCAGGCTGTGTAGGAACGCTAGTATGTCATGAACCATTGAAAGAGTTGTTACCTTGACCGATGCTGAGACTGACTCCTTCTGATTGGGCTGGAGTGGGAGCTGGAGCAGGAGTAGGAGCAGGAGTGGAAGCAGGAGTGGGAGCAGGAGTGGGAGCAGGAGTGGGAGCTAGAACGGGAACTGGAGCTGCAGCTGGAATTGGAGATGGAGCCAGAGCAGGAGCCTGAGTTGGAGCTGGATCTGGCACTAGAGCTGGAGCTGGAACCTCAACGGGCTCCTCGACTGGAGCTAAGGTCTCAGCAGGACTGGGTTCCTCCTCCACTGGTGCCGCCTCCTCCTGAAACACCAAAGAAACATCCTTTCAATGTACTCTTCTCTTTCTCCAAGTGCTGCAGTAATTTTCAGATTCAAATGCTTAAAAATGCTACTATATGCAGTAAAATGTTACGAACTAAAGTGTTGTTTTTGCTATGCTGAGGTGTTCAGATTCCGTGATCTTTTCTCTAGCTCTTGCGTTATATCGGCTGGATTGCAGATGTTATCTTGTCTATATTTTTGTATTCTTCATTCACCTTAAAGGAATGCTACAAACATTTTCGTTCTAAATAAAATGTATCACAGGATGACTATAAATATATAAAAGGCCATTGTGGGTTAAGGAATTCCTTTAAATTATAAAAAATGAATTTGTGTACAATGTTGTGCAAGGCCTTTACCACTGCCCATACAAGATGTCAGCAGGGTCCTTAGCTAAAAATCTGTATCTTTGAATCAGTGCAGGTATCAAGGTGTACCTCCTCGTCCAAGGGGATCTCTTCTTCCTCTGCCTCCTCCTCTGGGAGAACCTGGTCCATATTCTCTTCTGATTCACCGGCAGGAGCGACTTCTAGATCTTCCGCTGCTGGCTCTTCAGTCTCAGGGTCAGGAGCGGAGTCCAGTTCCAGCGTGGCTGCAGGCTCAAGATTTGCTGCAGCGGCGATCATGTCAAAGGCCTCCAAGGGGTCCGCAGGCGGCACAACTGCAGCTGCAATCATGTCGAAGGCGGCTTCAGGAGTGTCAGCAGACGGCAAAACTGCAGCAGCATCCATGTCAAAGACTTCTTCTGGGTTTTCAGCCAGCGACACATCTGCATTAGCAATCATATCAAAGGCTGCCTCTGGAGTTTCAGCAGGCGGCATGACTGTGGTGTCAGCTGGAAGTACATCTGCCCCGGCGGCGAATATGTCGAACGCTGCCAATGGAATTTCGGCAGGCGGCACGATTGAGGCGGCAGGGGGAGGTACATCTGCAGCAGCGGCGATCATGTCAAAGGCTTCCTCTGGGTTGTCAACAGGTGGCAGAAATGCAGTGGCAGCGGGAGGCACGACTGCAGCAGCAATCAGGTCAAATGCTTCTTCTGGGATGTCAACAGGTGGCAGAAATGCAGTGGCAGCGGGAGTCACGACTGCAGCAGCGATCGTGTCAAAGGCTTCCTCTGGGATGTCAACAGGTGGCAGAAATGCAGTGGCAGCGGGAGGCACGACTGCAGCAGCGATCATGTCAAATGCTTCCTCTGGGTTGTCAACAGGTGGCAGAAATGCAGTGGCAGCGGGAGGCACGACTGCAGCAGCGATCATGTCAAATGCTTCTTCTGGGTTGCCAACGGGCGGCAGGACTGCGGCAGCCGCAATCATGTCGAACGCTGCCTCTGGAGTTTCAGCAGCAGGGATAAGGCTGAGGTCTGGTAAAGACTGCAGGTTGACTGGAGCGGGCATCTCCACCTGAATATGGAGGGAGGAAATGGGTTCAAAGTCAGGGACTGTGATTTAACTTTTGACTTTTAAGTGTATGAACAGACTAAATATTTACACTTCAGAGAGGGAGATGTTTAAAACAACAGCCTTAATCTAAAGAAATAGTCAAATCTGTACATATGTTTGCACTTTTACACTGAGTTTTGCTAAGCAGATTTAAGAGGAAGAAAAAGCACTGTGATTGTAAAATTAAAAGTCTGTGCAAAGCTTCCTCTGAGTAGTTTCAATACAGAAGTAGTTGTTTTAGAACTGATTGCTTCATCTTTATGAATACTTGCAACACTTTCTGAGGCAGAGACTACAGCCAAGTGTATGGCTCAGTAAGCAGGACAAATGGAGAGAATAGTACGGTGTAGTAATGGACAATTTGGAAGCGTTTCAACTGAGTGGGCAGGAAGACAGGGACAGTATTTCCTATTGTAAACTAAATATTGTTGGATGTTTATATAAAAGACTGTCTGTAATGTGCTTCTTAGGATTATCGGTAGCTGTTTTATCACATGTTTTTCAAGTTAACATTTTCATTGGAAAGGCCATATTACTAGAACTGCATCACTTGTAATCACTGTATATAGTAATTGACGGAGGATGCTTATCATTGAACAGGATCAGATGAAATGTGGGCACCAGAATAAGCAGCTATTTAAAAAGTGACATGACACATTTAATCTGGCCGATAAGGAGGTCATTTTTGGAACCACATGCCTTGAAATTCTTAGAGATAGATTTTAAATTCTCACCTTCCGAAAAGATATTCCTTTAAAATCAACAGTGGGATTAAATGCTCCTGACAAACGTACCTGTGGAGGCTCAGCAGGCTTTTCCTCTAATGCTGCTGAAATCTGAAAACAAAATGGAGACATGTATCACAGGATGTACTAAAAGAAAAAGATGTGTTTATATTCAGTAAACAGTGTCATACAGAAAATTGAAAATACAGCTCACCTTTAAGGCGAGCTCCTCTTTGTTGTACCCAAGGAGTTCTAGGTACTTGCTGCGGATATCACTTTCAAAATTAGCCTGAAAACACAAAAACATCACACAAACAATTAGAACAATTACAGAAAATGTACTGAAAACTATTTATTTCCAAGTTTCATTCTGAATGTCATACCTTGAGGAAAGACCAAAGAGTCTTCTCAAACTCATTTTCAGCTCCATCGATCTTCTCCTGGCAGAACTCCACAAAGCTCCCTGCTCTCAGCGTGGCCTGCAGCTGGTCAGAGCGCTTCAAAAATGCTGTTTCTATGACGACCTGGCTGACATGTACGACGTGTGAGGAGCGCTGCTGAGGCTGCTGTGGGTTCGGCTTGCTGTTCTCCAAAGAAACCAGCTTACCTCCAAACTAGAAGTGAACAAGAGCCAGAAGAATGTCTGAGATGGTGAAACAACGAAGCTAAATCCTGAATGTAATTAGTGTAGGACACGGGACTCACAGCAAACGAGGCTCCAACAGGTCTGCGGATCCACTTGGGGGGCTTCTTCAGAGGGTTGATGGTCGCTGGAGGAGCAGGAGCCGGAGGAGGCAGCTGCAGGGGGGGCAAAGTTTGCCCTGTGCCAAAAGGATCCATGTTCCCAAACGAGTTGGTAATCTGTAACAGAGACAAAAAGTCAATTAGATGCAATGCCAGGTGTGCCGAAAATGTAATTCACTGATTTTGTGTAATGTGCAGATCTACGAAAAGCTGCTCATTAAAGGTTTCCTGCATGTTTTTGTCTCCGGACATTTAATTACCCATATAAAAAGAATGTCAAATAAAAATATGTAGATTACATTTCATATAAACACACACCTGGTCAGCTCGTCTCTGGCTCTGCGCCGTGTTGGTTCCTCCCATGATGGAATAGATGTCGATGTGTCCGTCGAAGCTTGCAGCCGACAGCACCGCGGGGTTTCTGGGACACCACTGGATGTCAAAGCACCACGGACTGCTAGTGGGCAACTCGTACAGCACCTGAGGATCCAATCAGATCATTTATTTACATCAGAGGTACAACAATGGGACAGGTTTTTGTTCTGTTTGCTACTTTGAATGTGTTAATAAAACATTTATAGTAATGTTTACCTCTGCTGTGTTTGGGTTCCAGCACAGAATCCTGTTGTCCTTTCCGCAGCTCAGGAGCAGATCAGGATCAGCCAGACTCCAGGCGATGGACAGGACACCCCTGTTTGTAAAGATCAGGTAAGTCTTAAAAATTCACATACTTTTTAAGGGAAATGAGAAAAAAGCTTTATGCTCCTTTGCCACAAACAGATGCTTTTACCGTGTGTGATTCTCTAAAATCTTGAGAGGAGAGGAAGCAAAGCGTAAGTCCCACATCTGGATAACCGGCATTCGATCGTCTTCCGAGGACAAAACCAGCTGAGTGGCAACTTCTGGGTTCCAAGCCAGCCCGGAACAATGCATCTGAAAAAAAAGACATGCACATTAAATAAAGACAGTTTAAATTGAAATAAAAAAATGCAAAGCACCAAGTATTGTTCAAAGATCCAGCATTATTTTTGGTCCAAGACTTCCTCTGAGTGCAGAAGGATCAACGTACTCTGTTGCTGTGGTCGCTGACTTTGATAATGAGGTCGTTCTTGCGGAGGTCCCACACTGAGGCTCGGCCACTCGGGCTGGCAGAGGCCAGGATATGTTGGACCTGTCTGTTCCACGACACACAGCTGATGTCCTCCAGAGGCTTTAAGACAAGAACATTAGCTATTTTTGTCATTATACATTCAGAAAATTCAAGATATTCATGGTCTAAACTACTACAACCATTATTTACCCACATTAAATGACACAGATGTTTCTGTTCAATGCTTTAACAAAGTAATTAGGGCTGCATAATATTTCATTTCCGAATTGAAAGAATATCAACAATGTGGCTTCTGAAAGGATCATGTTCATGTTCATCCAAAACAGGTATTTTTTTCCTCATCCCAATGTCAGTTTTTTTTCAATACGATAGACCCTGATAATCCTTTTGGACTTAATTATGGTGACATCCGACAAAATAATTAAGTCAAATGACGAACACAAACTTTCCTTAAAATTAAACTTCACAAGTTCACATTTTAACAGTGGAAAGTAAGATCAAGAGTGTTATTGATATTTACAAATTATAGAAGAAATTACTTTTGAAAAGTAATTACTAAAGCTTACCTGAGTTTTAGGTCCTGGTGTCATTGGAGAGCCAAAGTTATTCATGTCCCAGATATAGATTTCAGACTCATTCCCACCTGATGCAACCAGGTTCGTCTGCAGCACAGAGGAAACAATACAAAATGAGTCACTGCATTTGGTTTTAAACTGACTGCTTGCATGTGATAAATTCACTGAAGCTGGAGTTAAATGGATCGTACCTGGAACGGGTTGACGTCGAGACCTCTGACTGGCCCTGTGTGCTTGTCACTCTCTGCAATGATCACGTCGGTCTCTCCAGCCATGATCTTTGCCGGGTCGTACAGAATGACGTTGCCATTCTCGCCTCCGGCAACAAGGACCCCAGATGGGTTACCTTGGGAATCTATCCCATAGGGGCCCCATACCAGTTTGTGGTATCTGTGGGGAGGAAGAAGCACAACATGTGTGATGACAACTGCACTTGAACTGCACTTTTGTTTTTAAAGCATTATTTCATTGGCAGCTTTTAGTACCTGTGAGAGGAGACGAGGCTGCCACATGACTTCATGTCCAGAGATGGGTCTGACAAGTCCAGCTCGAAAAACTCCAGCGAGGCATTGGTGCTGAAGGAGGCATCCAGCTGCTGGGCTGATGTTCCTGCAGAGAGAGAAATCAGAAACTTTGGTGCATGCTGTGACATATAAAACATAATGTTGCATTGATCGTACTTATCAGAAAGAGTCTAAAATGACACAAAAGATTGCTTGAAGAGCATACTAAGGAGTGAGTGTAAAGAATAAGACACATTTATTAAGAGACGTATGCCTACCTATAGCAAGTCATCAAATGATTAATAACATGTAAGCTCAAAGCAGGACCAGATAATTAGAGAGCTTACACCAGCCATATTGTTATTTATTTTCAAGGGAATATATTCATTTGCTCAGTGATATATGTTATTATTTTCTTTCAAATGTCTCTTTTTTTTCGTGAGGATACTTTAATAACTACTGCAGCAATTAAAGTTGAATTAACAACAATCGAATTGTGCCATATATTCTATAAATAGGGATGAAGTAACAGCAAATGGATGTAATGGAAACAAAAAGAAAATAATATAAATCAGAAAAAGACCACAATGAAGATGGGGTAAAGTGATACCCCAAGTGAAGGAGTTCAAGTATCTCGGGGTCTTGTTCTTGAGTGAGGGAGCAATGGAGCGTGAGATGGGCCGGAGAATCGGAGCAGCGGGAGCGGTACTGCAGTCGCTTTACCGCACCGTTGTGACGAGAAGAGAGCTGAGCCAGAAGGCAAAGCTCTCTGTCTACCGGGCCATTTTCGTTCCTACCCTCACCTATGGTCATGAAGGATGGGTCATGACCGAAAGAACGAGATCGCGGATACAAGCGGCCGAGATGGGTTTTCTCCGCAGGGTGGCTGGCCTCTCCCTTAGGGATAAGGTGAGAAGTTCAGTCATCCGGGAGGGACTCGGAGTTGAACCGCTCCTCCTTCGCGCCGAAAGGAGCGAGTCGAGGTGGTTCGGGCACCTGATAAGGATGCCACCTGGGCGCTTCCCTAGGGAGGTGTTCCAGGCACGTCCAGCTGGGAGGAGACCGAGGGGTAGACCTAGGACCAGTTGGAGGGATTATATCTCTTCGCTGGTCTGGGAGCGCCTTGGGATCCCCCAGTCAGAGCTGGTTGATGTGGCCAGGGAAAGGAAAGTTTGGGGCTCTCTGCTGGAACTGCTACCTCCGCGACCCGACCACGGATAAGCGGGAGAAGATGGATGGAAAGTGATTGCAACCTAAATGAATGGCAATGGAGGTGCATGCTCTGCGACTTATGGCTGTTTGTATGGCTGGAAGACCAAAATTATTAAATGTCCTGTCAAAAAATACACCATTGCTGCATGCTCATACCTGTTGCAAGGTAGATGGGGTGGTGCTGTGCAGGACTCCAGCTCTGGATGGCTGTGCGGTTAATCTCCTTAAGTTTCATCCTGGGAAAAAAGTTTACATTTTGAAGGAACATGTAGTGATTATTCTAGTTTGATTTACTTTTCCCTCCATTAGGCTTCTTCTGTTATCAAAACAAATAACAGAGCATGCTTTTTATTAAACATTATTTTATGCATTTAAGGATAGGTTCACACATGTGTTTAATGTCTGTCTTAAATAAACACTTGCATTCCAATATGTATATTCACAGTTATGGTTGGCTGTGTTCATGGTGTCCATACTGGCTGTCCAAAGATCACTTCTTATCACGTCTTTATTATGAAATGTTCTCTTTTTCCCTTTGACAATTTGTCTTTCTAAAGCACTGTGCAGTTTAATAAAGTGTTAACCTTCATGAAAGAGGATTTATAAGGGGCTGTTGTAGAAAAGTTACATTAGCTTGGTGTACATAATACATTTCAACTGGGTGTAAGTATTTTGTTAAGATAACAATGTGAACCCGTAGTTTAAAGCTAGGAAAGGGAACACCTGCATGTGACAGGTTTATTTAGCAATACAGTTTTTATTCCTACTTGTATGAAGTGCATTGCCAGCATTCCGCCTCGCTACTGTAATAAATACAGTAGTTACTGAATTATACTCAAAGGCCTACTTTGACTGACACCAATGAAGACCTGCGCATTTTTAAGCAATTTTGCAGAAATTATATTGCAAATGCTTTATCTAGCTCTGAAGAAACTTGGGAGCATGTCGGCGTACTTTCTTCATTCAAAGGTTAACAATAGAAAAACAAAGTACAATACAAGCTAGCAGCAAGCTAACAGCTGATGGACCATTTAAAAGCTACACAGCAAAGGCAATAACCAAGGAATAAACTATAAGAAGAAATTAGAGTCAAAATGAAAAACTGAATTGGCTGCAGAATAATGTCACTTTTTATCATGCTTCACATGAACATGGTACAGCATGTCCTAAAGGCAACATTATCTCGCCTGCTAGCTGCCTGCAATACATAACAGTGGGAAGACAGTTATACACTAACAGATCTTATTACTTCACTAAGGCGGCTTACCTTCCTTCCTTTGCTCCCTCTTACATGAACACACACATAAAATAGTTGACAAATACTCCTGCGACTGTACAGGTTCCTCGTTCGGCTCCACTTCGGGATTAGAGGGTGTAATAACAGAAGAGGCTACAGGGTCCCGACTACGGACTCAAGACAGATTTCCACGTCCCCACTGGTCTCCATCAACGTGGCACTCAGCAACACCGCTGCCACGAAGAAGAACAACAACTTCCGGGGGACGTCTTCGCCGCTACCATGGCTACCATGGCTAGCATGCTAAATATGCCATAGTTTTACCAGAGGTTTTATATTTACAAGTAATTATAGAACCTTTTTGTTCAACATCGTCCAAAAAAGTATTTGTTCTACAGTACTACCCCTGCTAGCATGCTAATGATGCTACCATAGAGAGACGCATATGTATACCCATGCTAACTGTAATTGTAATGAATTCCTACCCCTGCTATCATGCTAACTATGCTACCATAGACACACATGCATTTGAACAGCACTGCTAACTGGCATGCTAACTATGCTAACGTTACTGTCAACACATCTTCCAAAGTATGCCAAATAAAATGGAACATAAGTAAATGTAGTTAGATTAACATATTTCATAGGTGTTTTTTTATTTATTTGTTTACGTTTACTCTGAGATATTTCATGTTATGATTAGTGAAAGATACTCACTTCATTTTTCCAAGCACAACAATAAATGTATTTTGTATATCTGATGATAAATGAACAAATGTATGGTAAACTGCAGATCCCCACAGATACCCCACAAATAACAATAAACAACACATTTGCTTCACAATTTGTATTTATTTGGTAATGAATAATATAGAGAAAACCAATAAAGTGCTTTTGGTAAATGTAGGTGTGTCAAGAAATCACTGAACTGCCACTTGAACAGGCCGACCCTGAAAGAACAATGGTGATACAGTAAGGTAAAGTTAGTTTTACACAGACTTAGCAAGGTCTTTAGAGAGAATGAATGCCAACACCCTCATTTTATATCTAATTTATAATCCTCCCCAGACACATGAATGGGTCAAATGGGTAGTGATTGATATAATCATTGGGATGCTTGTTTACATAATAACAGTTCTGCAATACGTACATATCAGGTTCACGCTGCTCATTTTCCTGGTACGCCTTTTTCTGTCAACACAAGATTTTCAGTTAACTAAAAACCTTCGGTGAAAAAAAAACGTAGAACATGTTGAATAAAACCCATACAGATCATAAGGACAAATAAAAAAACAAGCATTAGGATAACATTGTGTGTGCCGAATTGGAGAGTTGTTGCGTTTATTTCAGTAAAGGATTGAGTTAGCAGATGAAACTTGGTCAATTAGCAATTTTGCACCAAACGACTATATTTGTTATAAGAGTTTGGTGGGGCGTAACGTATCTCACAAACTGGAACACGCATGTGTTGTCAGAGTTGAGTTTCAAGAAGAAGACAAACTTGAATGATCCCCAATGGGAAAATTACAGTTTACTATGTACAGTAAGCGAATTGTGGTGTAAAAAAATATTAAATACATGACCTCATTGACAATACCATACTCTAGTATTGACTGGTTTAATTTACAATTGACTTACCTAATTACCGAACATGGACCCCACGCGAGATACTATTTTAGCTAACTTATACCGACCACATTAATTAAATACGCACAAAACGAGCATTTTAACACTGGAATATAACAATGAAATATTTTATTTGCACCAGCCGTGGCAAGACTCCTTCACCTCACTTCTTCATCTTGAAATATTCTTCTTCTGTTTCATTCATAACTTCGATTATGTGTGCATTACTGCCACCTATTGGTTGATATCAAAGGCACTGGGGGGGGGGGGGGGGGGGGGGGGGGGGGTGGATTTTTATTTTGTGACGCAATACTCTTTCTTTGATTTGCAAGGAAGACTGGAAAGGCACATCCATGCACCTTTTTCCCAGAATTATATATTTAAAATTGAAGTCTCCCAGGTTGAGAATGACTTCATATAGATTTTTCTTGATGAATTAGATTCCCAATTTCAATCTTTAAATTGCCCTTTGTTTTCACAATATGAACTGAACTAGAATTGTCGTAACACCCCAGTTTTGCCAAAATAATATAAACTAAAACAGATGTTATGGTTTGAAATCACTAACAGTATAAACAAAAAAAGGAGATATGGAAACAAATGTTCTATGATGCAATTAAAGGGTTGTGGTATAATGTATTAATAAAAAGGCAAGAGGCAGATATGGGTCTCTGGTTCTTTTTTTTTTTTTTATCTGTGGTAATTTTAACACAAAACCAATCATCAGCTATGCGTGTATGACAGATCTGGATCACCTTGTTAGTTGCATCACTACAGCCATTAATTTAATGTTTATATATACTCCTGTGCTCCTACCATGAGATGTCTTGATGGAGGTTCTCTCATTTCTGCCACTTTGACTTCAAAAACCAACTTCGGACCCCCTTTCTCCACTCTCTTCTAGTGAGAAACATAATTGAACAAGTCTTATAGGTCTCAATTGTTTTTCCCATGTATGGTGTTTTTAATGTTCAGTAAGCATGTGACTGATCAAACAGAAAACCGCACAAAGAGAAACGTGAACCTTCGCCAATCTAGCCATGTTCCAACTATTATGAGCACAGTGCTGTGTGTGTGTTCATAATGCATTAATCTATATGTGTATTCAATTTACGATTGCCTTTAGGGATCAAACCCAGGACTGCCTCTACTCATTTCACTGACACAATTTAGCCTAGCCTTGGTTAATAATTAAAAATTTGCAGCACTAAAAGTCACACGATATTAGCGCTCACAATGATTACAAATACTTGTCAAAATAAATATCAAAAGATACAAGTTCTTTTTATCTACTGTAAGCACAAATGATTACATTAAAATTACAGGCATTTCTTTTTCGAAAAAAACTCAAAGGGGGGAAAGAATAATAGAAAATAGAATAAAATGGAAGAACAAAAGTTTGGAGGACACCAACACATTTGATAGAGCCCTGTAGGGAAAATGAGAAACACTCCAGTCCATGTGGACTACCTTGCTCAGTCATTTCTGTCCATAACAGGTGAACAAGTGTGAGAACTGTTTTTAAAAAGGTCCATCAGAGGCGACGTGCTCTGTCCATTTCTCCTTCGGTTCGCAAACATCTGCTCAATGTTTATTATTCCAGCTGGCCTCTGCCTGCTAAGGGCGGGGGAATCTACTTTCAGGCCATTGTTCTGCCTTTAGAGAAGGGAGACGACCTGTTCCTTGCAGGAGAGAAACCCCAGGGGTCCGAGAGAGTAGAGTCATCTGTTTCTCTCGGCCCCGCAGCTGTGTGCATGTTAGAGGGTGGGGGAGAGCCAAAAAGTTTGGTCTAGCAATTGATGGAAGCACAGTCTGCTTTGGCTTTCCCCGCCGAGCTGATGATCCTCATGAGGCAGTGTCCGAACTCCTCCAGGATCATCCGCTCTGCTTCCACCTGAGGCTGATGAGTCTGTTCCGCCTTTTTGGCCTGTTCCAGCAGACACTCACACGTTGCTTCAAGAACCTCCTTTGTTACAAACGTAAATGGCAGCCTAAGAGAAAAGAAGGACAGGGTCTTGGTTAGAAAATAAATTACCCTTCTCTTGGTGTCGAAAGGGTATTTTAATTCTTAAAACAGTTTTTTCCCCTTTCAATGCCTATTGTTTGAATTCGGTATTCGGCACATTTGCAGACCCTTTTATTATTAGTATTATACTATTTAGAGAATTAGCTTGCAGTGGTTGCTGCGTAAGATTGTTTCCAACTTGTGTGATCCAAAACATTTCCAATAAAGATACAATTCAATAATTGTTTTAATCCACCATGTTTATTAAATGATATGTTTAGCTTTTCCTAAATAACATTTTTGCTGCAGTCAAAACAAACTTTACCTCTTAAAGTTAGGCAGTCACTGGTGGACTAGTCATTAAAGAAACTTAATTTAATCAAAAAAAGCAAAAGACTCATTCATCTTTCAATGAATCCCTTAATTCATAAATACATTTTTTCCCCCAAATATGTCAGCAGACAGTAGAAGCTTTGTTCAAGGTTCAAGGTTCTTTATTGTCAATCTGACATAGCTACAGAGTAATTATGCAGTTGAAAATCTTATGTCACAGGCTTCTCCAACAATGCAACATAATAACATAATGTTATGTGTATGTGTATGTATGTGTGTACAATAATGAAATTACATTATTATTGTTGTAGAGAAAAAGTGTTTATAGTACCTCCCGCTTCCACTTGACATGACAGGAGTGGTCCGCATGAGCAGGTCTGAGATCTGTGACGACAGCTTGGTCTTGGCAGCAGTTTGCTGCTGAACCCTCATATCTGCGGCGTCAGCCAGGTGCATCAGCGTCTTCCTCTCCGGGCTCTCCTCGAAGTTCTTGCAGCCGATGCACTTACAAATGGACGAACACATGATCTTCGCCTTTGAGGTAAGACAAAGGAAAGAATACAAATCAAGTCAGGTGGTGACAAACTGGGTTAAACAATTATGATGAATCATCTATTTTCTTAAGTCATATTCAACCACTTTTATATTTTTCAGCCCCTGGCATCTGTATGTAAATTAAATATTTACAATATATCAATTATTTTACTGCATTACATTGAAATCACAGCAAAAGCAGCAATTTTGAGTCCAAGCGGGATGAACACAGTTGTCATTAATACATTTGATTACGGTCTCTGTCTAATTAGTGCCACAGCCATTCTTGTGAGTCAGCATGAACAATACCAGGGCCAACCTAAATGGAATAGGGCCATAATTAACGTTATTAATTACACCTGTGATTACACTGCAATTAAAAGTCAAAATAGCAGCTGTGAAAAGGGCCTTCTGTGCTTTAAACAATATGTTTTGTGATGATTACAATTTGAAGCAGTTTCATGCATTTTATTAAAAATGCAAGCAATATTCAAACCTTGAAAGAGTTTATAAGGATTTCTAGAAACAGAATTATAAAAACAGGTCCTGAAAAGAACAGAGGGAGGGAAAGCCCACCTCGTAGCACTCGCAGTAGTTCTTCAGGCAGCCCGAGCGTTTGCAGTTGCAGCCTTTGCTGTGTCGGCGGTCCGACTCTCCCTCCTTGCCTTTACCTATTTTAGGTTTGAAGGCTTCTGGGTTCCGGTCCAGACACGTCTGCGAAAACACATTAA